GTTAGCTGAACTACTACTACATGTTTGCACTTTTCTAATGCTTACTGAATACAATTCTACGTAGTTTTGTGAACTTCTACGAAGTTCCAGGAAGTTTCCTGAACTTCTACTAAGTTCCTCGATCTTCTAAAAAGTTTCCTGATATTAATGTTTCGTTAATTTTCCTGAACTTCTGTGAAGAACCTATCTTATAAATTTGGACAACCTCCACTCCGTTATTTTGAAAAGTAGATATGTAAGCGTTTGAAAACATTATTCGTCTCACCGAAGATATATTCTAAAAGCATCCCTGCCAATAATGATAATGTCTTTGAGATATTATTTGATATGACGTGGTATGGTATTCAAAACATCTCCGAAGCTACTGGAACATGTTTGGAGGAGGCCAATGTGGTTCTAGCACACAATATGACTACTAATTCCAGCAGGCAATTTAAGCTGAAGAAAGGCTCAAACAGACAAAAGTTAGCTTCATAATCAGAGCATAAAGTTATTGACTGCTTAGACTGAGTGTGAAAGCACTGTCAGAGCTGGTAAATATCACGGCCGTCATGTGACTATGAGAAAACATGCCCTCTCACTATCACGAGACGAAACTACCTATCATTAGCTTTCTTGTCATTTTTCAATGATCAAGCACTCATGAGAATAATTCTTATTCGGTTTTGACATCAACATTTCTGACTGATTGAGATGAATTTAAGCAAACAACCGTATGTAATCGGTAGAGTGAATATATTATTAAGATTTCCTCGGTTAAGTAACTTTATTAGCATTAAATGAACTAGTAATTACGATAATTGCAACACTGTCACGTTCTGTCATGACAAAAAATTCGATGAGATTTTGAAGAAAATCTCTATCATCGTTTTCTCATCCAATGATAGTGACAGAAGTATCTCTGTAAATATCGCGTGGGATCTTTTATTGAAAATTACATTTACCAGCCCTGAGCACTGTATTGTTCAATTCATTACTCTGTCCACCACATGTTGAAGGACGAGTCAATGAAAGAGCCAATAAAAACATTCAGTCACTCACAAACAGGTGGCTCACACCGCTTGCCTTCGCTGACACAGCATGTAATTGAGGCATGTTTACATAGAAAATGTACGCTCAGTCAATCAACACATGAATTGGGTACCATCACGGAAGAAAATACGTGCTGACTGAGCTACTGACTCAGTGCTCGGCTGTCAGTGACTCGTTTACTTTCCAATCATTTAGACTCTCACGAGGCAGTGAATGATGAGGCGGATGGCAGTTGCTATTCATATGGAAATGACTTACTAAACCTTACTGTTTTGCGCACTGTTCATAATCCATGTTTTGCCTTTATACCGCAATGTACCGAATACCAGAATCCAGACATTTAATAGTTGTATTAAAGATTACGTCCATTTTGCAACAGTTGGCAAAGCTCAACGTCAATGTTTGTCTTAAAATGAACATTTTATACCGACTGAGCTAAGAGAGGCTCCTACTACGAACATTATTTCTGTCGTAGTTGATCTAGTAGATTATTTGATGTAAAATCGAGCACGATTTGGAGAACCTAGAACATATCATTACATACAAATGTATTTTAAACTATGTTAAATAAACTCAATGCTAAATTCTATGGACATGCTAACAGATGCTTTATTGCTCACGACATTGAGTGATCAAGTAAGTGGAATTAAATGGAAGATAACCTTTTTTGCTGTTTTATTTAGCATTCCGCTAGCAACCCAATTTCATTACTTCATTATGATGGCTACCAAGCCTTTGGGGATTTTCCTTATTAGAGAGTTGTATAGATTTTTCTCCTTTAGCTTACTTAAATCTTTGGTTTTTATTAGTTAGGTAGGTTCCGATTCAACACATTGTAGTTTCATTTTTATACCTATGATCTTGACTTTTTTTACCTAGGGGATGAGTACTTAAGGGGGTCAGATTTTGATAAGTTCTTTAGTGGGAATGACACTGATGAAGACTGCACATTGTAGTCGAAATACGTATGGATACCAAAATTAATTAAGTGGAATTAAATGGAAGATAACCTTTTTTGCTGTTTTATTTAGCATTCCGCTAACAACCCAATTTCATTACTTCATTATGATGGCTACCAAGCCTTTGGGGATTTTCCTTATTAGAGAGTTGTATAGATTTTTCTCCTTTAGCTTACTTAAATCTTTGGTTTTTATTAGTTAGGTAGGTTCCGATTCAACACATTGTAGTTTCATTTTTATACCTATGATCTTGACTTTTTTTTACCTAGGGGATGAGTACTTAAGGGGGTCAGATTTTGATAAGTTCTTTAGTGGGAATGACACTGATGAAGACTGCACATTCATTCGTTATTATCATTATAGTCGAAATACGTATCTGTCATGGATACCAAAATTAATTAAGTGGAATTAAATGGAAGATAACCTTTTTTGCTGACTGAAGAAACGATTTAACCATCAGTCATTTGTGATTAATATGGCATAATGTACCATGTACAAGACAATGATAAGACCAATAGTTCTCTGCGGGGATGATATGCGAACCTGCCAGCACTGGGAATTTTTGGACGACGCGTGCATTGGACCAAATTTCGCGGGGTATACGACAACGGTGCATGGAGAAGAAAAATTGACCACGAGCTGGTGCAACTCTATGGTGAACCCAGTATCCAGAAAATCGCTAAGGTCGGGTACAATGGGTGAGAATGCCGGACAACAATTTAGCAAAAATTGAGTTTTACTCGAATCCGGCCGAAACAAAAATCAGAGGACCGCAGCTAGCTAGGTAGATACATCAAGTGGAGCAAGATATACGTAGCTTCTCCATTGATCCTATCCTTCCACAATGTACCACTCTAATCTCGGGTTAGCCGCGAGTATTCGGCCCAACTCCTACTAGACATAGAATAAAGTGAATTTTGTTCAAAAAAATTAACATTAAATTATCGGCTCCGTAAGGCTAACGCGATTGAGATATAAAAAAATACGAAGTGTGGGTCGCTCGAGAAACTGAAGACAAGCAGTCATGAACGGAGTTAGTTGGCACAACTGTGTACAACAAGTGAAATCCTGAGGGACGTCGTAAAACTACGTAAGTTAGTTAATGATCATAAATTGACAGTGAGCATGCATAAGGGCGTAAACGCGATGATCGATTCTCTTCGTCGATTTTCTCTTTTGTTAATAACTCGATAGATTTAACGTTTCTCGATGCGTTTGCTGTTGCTTTTGATAGCCAATACAACCTGTTACTACTCTGCATTGAACAAATTCTAGAAAATTGTTTCGCTTAGCTGTAGCAATGCAAAGAGAAAATCGATGAAGAGAATCGATCATCGCGTATTCGCCCTTATGCATGCTCACTGTCAATATGATCACATGGACCACATGGGTTAAATTCGAAACCCTGGATGTTTGATTCAAATCCTAAAGTTTTTTAAGGTATTTTAAGGTTTGAAAGCTCTGAGATGTATAATGTTGAAATACATTATGCTAATACAGTGCTTTTCTTTTTTGATCAGTCCCCTTTCATGTTATCCTGACTCATAACATATGTACTTTACCAAGTGTCAAAGCCCCAAGCTAGCGTCTTAAGGTATATAGTTAGCACAGACTGTGTAGTTAGGGTGAAGGATTTGTAGGATTGTAGGATGAGACCATTCCAATTAAGGTCTATTGAATTTGTCTAAAGGGTGTTTTCGATAAAAATGACACACACATAAAACTGCAACCTTTTTACTATTATTCAAAATGACATTAAATTTCAACTAAGTCTGTTTGGTCCATAACGTGCGCATGTAATTTTAATGAAGGTCTGAGAGCTGCTTTATCTTTTGTTATAGCCATGATAACAACATGCTGTCTAAAAAATGTGTACGGTCTCGAATTTCAGCGGTTATGTAAGGAAATTCTTTTGTCATTGTTGCCATTGACTCAAAGAATCCTACCAATGTTTTGCCAAATACCTATTATCTTTCAATATGTTTTGTAGTTGGACAGGAGCTATACTTCAAAATTTCGGATCTTTTATAACAAAAGTCTAAATTGACAATCCTTTTATCTCAAACGAAAACAGTATTTTCTAACACAGTTTAAAGATTCTTAATCTGTTAATAGAATTCACAAGGAAATGTAAAAAAATAAGTAAAATTTAGCTAAAAAAAATAGATACAATAAATTACTTTTACATCAAAATTTGCATTAAAGTCTCTTTCAGGCAAATGATATGCGTTACGGTCATGATTTTGTGAAACGACATCTACCAGTATTTACATAAACCAGCGTCAGCCAAATCAAATCGTGTACACTGAAAACGAAACTTCCTCAATAAGTGCATCACCTTTACTCATTCGTATGGAGAAATTTTTTAAAAGCGCAGGTTTCTCATGCGCTGAGTGACCTACACGAATGAGTAAAAGTGACTCACAACTGAGTAGAAATGACCTACTGTTTGAATAAGTTTTGTTTTCAGTTACTGAAACTGAATACGGTAAAAGAAACTAGCTCAGAGAGTAAGTCACTTTTAATCAGTTATGAGTAACTGATACTTATTCGGATGGACAAATTTTTAAAAGCGTAGGTCACTCAGAGTATGATCATAAGAAGTATGTGCAGAGCATTTCGAAATTTCTGCATACGAATGAGTAAAAGTGACTCACTCTCTGAGTAAGATTCGATTTCAGTGGTTCACTCCTTCCTTCACGAAAATCATGACTTTTTATTCACTCAAAAAAAAACTACCGTTACTGATACTACTCTTGATAGTGGAGCAGCTTCATTTTTTTTTCAGAAAATGATAATATTTCAATCAGTTTTGAGAGTTTTCAACGGCCGTGTAACATTCTTACAAAACGTAACACCACTAACGCCCAAACGAATGACGTTTTGTTCCGTCAGAAAAAGAAACTGACAGCCTAATATATCAGTGAATGACAGTCAGCTGCAGACGTCAACAAAAACATTGAATCGTCGAAGTGCTAGACACTATAATATTATGTGAAATTCAATTAAATAAAATTGATTAAAAATACATATCGGCAAGCTTAGCTAGCTTTTAGGAAAGTTCATTAAATAACAAAACGCCAGCTTATATTTATAATATGGCAAAAACTGTGCTAGTAACCGGTGGAACTGGGCTTGTAGGGAAAGCCATCGAAACGGTCATCAACGATGAAAATCCCGAAGATGAAAAATGGATTTTTGCCGGTTCTAAGGATGCGGATCTCACGTAAGTTAATAATAAGTAAGTTTTCGGAGGTAATTTACCCATATTGTGATGCATGATTTAATTTGACTGGTGACCAGAGATAGATAACAGCACAAAGCACAGACGAGTTCAGTTAGTATCAATTTATCAAATTCCTTGCAAGGATTGTCCTTCGGTCTATATCGGACAAACGCGCCGTAAAGTAAAAGTCCGCCTAAAGGAACATAAGCTGGTATCAACAAAGAGTTGCTATTCAAATACTGCAACAGCTGGCCTTTAACAACAAGTTCTAAAATTTTCTCTAATGTGTGCAACATGTTGATGGGACGAAACTCATCGGTTTTAATCGTTCCAGCAACTTTTTGAATAGGAACCACTAAGGATTCCTTCCAAATTTGTGGTACATTTCCAGTCTTCAATAGTTCATTAATAAGGTCCATCAAGATGTGGCTAATTTACGAAGTAAATCCTAAATAACGAATTTTATCTTTACGAAGTATATTCCAAGTAACGTAAACAAAATCATGTTTATATTTCAGACTCAGAACGATATTATTAGCCCAATATTTGAGAATAAACTTGTTTTTCTTCCGCTGCAAGTCTGACAGCCACCATATCTGAGATGAATTGTGTGTTATTTCATAAATACAATCATGGAAAACACATTTTGTTGCTGGACATCATATGTTTACGATGTGCATAGTGAAAACCCTTATTATATTAAAATTCCTCTTGCATCTCACTTTTGTTTTGGAACTCAGTTAGCTCCATTTGCCAGCTGGCACGAGAATCTTCCACCGAATCTATTGTCCCTTCGCTCAGGTCTTTTTTTACACGGGGGATACGTACCGTGTAAAAAAAACTACGAGATTTTGATTTTTCACATGTTTAAATGTTTTTAAAAAATCGGATTTTGATGCCATTTGTAATTATAGCATCCTATGGTCCATATTTAAAAAAAAATGTAATTAAACCAAAAATTGTGATTTTTTTTAAAGTATGCCATTCGATTTCCTATAGTTTGTAATGGATAATGTGATTGGAATCAGTTTGTATCGTTATCGAGAAATCGTTAAAAATGTACCGTGTTAATCGCGAAAAACCGAGTAAAAAACCGTGTTTAAAAAAACCGCGTAAGAAATACCATGTAAAAAAAGACTTCAGTGTATAATGTTTATGCAATTTCTTGAATGAATTATATCAAAATATCTCTTTTAAAATTCTTGCATAATCTCAAATGTTTGCTTGTCATTCGAAAGGGAAATGTCAGGGCTTTTATTTGGCATATTTCGAATTGTCGGCGGCCACCATATTGGATTTTTTCGAAATGTGAGTTTTTCATAAGATTATCTCCCACCAATTTAAAAAGTAAGCACGCTATTTGAAAGCTGTAACTTTTATTTATAAAATGCATATCAAATTATAATCGAGCACCTTGTTTTGCGTAAGGAAACAGAAGAAAAGAAACAAACTATCACAAATTGTGAATCATATTACCGAAGTAATCACCAAGCCCATTAGTAGCCCGATAAGGGCCCTTTTTGCAATATAAGGCTGATATACGGCTTTAAATTTTTGTATCAGCATTATATTGCACTTTTTGCTTTAGGGGGTTGATGTTTACTTGGGTACCCCTTCTTCCTTTTTCTACTGATTCCTTACGAAGAAAATATTTCTCTTTCATAAATTGATATGCATCTGATAGGAAAAAGTCTCAGCTCTTTCAAAAACCGTTCTTACTTTTTAAATTGGAGAAAGGTAAGCTTAAGAAACACAAAAATCTAAATATACCAAAGAAAGCCGTCAATTTTGGTTTCAAAGCACCAAATTGTATCTTTCTTGAAGTGTCAGGTATAGTTTCTTCAAGAATGTGCCATCCATTCGTTATCTATCTTCTTGTTCTGATTTTAAAATTTTGCAAATTCTTTCCTCATTTCGAAAACCCTATTTAACATGTCTTCATGTAACTCAACATTGAACTAGTCTTGTTTTTACAAAAATGAGTAAAACCTAACTCAAATATGAGTTGTCTTCAACGACCATGAAGTCCTCTTATCCAGTGGTTTGTGTATCAGCTACGGTTGTTTTCAATTTTTGCCACCCTGTGCATGACACGGAAAATGAGAGTCATTCACAGTTGAGTCGAATTGTCTCAAAATTGCAAAAAGTTACGTAACTTAGTGAATGAGTAAAATGTCCTCAGTTTCTCAGGAAAAAAAACATAAATATCAGGAAAAACGAAAAATATTTCACTCAGCTTATAGTATACTCGTAAAATGAGTTAAATTTTTTGTCGATTTTTCGCACATTGGAAAAGATGATCCAGAAAAAAAGCTCGGACAATTTTACTCACTGTGACCTCAGTTTTGCGAATTGAAGTGAACTATACTCAAATAAGAGTCAGATTCATTTGCCAGGCCTCTCAAAATTTTCCTCATATTTAAGAAGTTTTTTCAGGAAAATCTTGGAAAGTTTTACTGATTCTATGAGTGTTCTGCGTTCTTACGAATTCGAGTGAACGATACTCATAAATGAGTTACATTAATTTGCTGTGTAAGTTACCCCACCGTTAACAAAATTGACTCAAATTCAACTAAATTTTGAGTTGACCTCATCGGCCGTGCACGCTTTCATCGATGTTTCGTGTTCGATGTCTTCCTTTCACACACAGCGATCTTCAGTCAACGCGCGCAATGTTCGAACGGCACCAACCGACGCACGTGATTCACCTGGCAGCGATGGTGGGCGGGTTGTTCCACAACATGAGCAACAATCTGGACTTTTTGCGCAAGAACATCCAAATCAACGACAACGTGCTGCTGCTGAGTCACGAGTTCAAGGTGCGGAAGGTTGTTTCCTGCCTGTCGACGTGCATCTTTCCGGATAAGACGACCTATCCGATCGATGAAACGATGGTAGTTACTTTAGGTTTGTCGAAAATTCAAACTTTTCAAACAGTTCTATGAAACTCCCTCAGATTCACAATGGACCGCCGCACGATTCCAACTTTGGCTACAGCTATGCCAAGCGGTTGATTGATATTACCAATCGAGCTTATAGCGAAAAACATGGAGACATTTTCACTTCGGTCGTTCCCTGCAACGTATACGGACCGCACGACAACTTTACTCCCGGAGTGAGTCATGTAATTCCTGGAATGATCCATAGGTTGCATGAAATTATTTACCTGAAAGATCAAGAGGTAAAACTTTCAAGCATATATTTGTATGCAACGAAACTGACTTTTTTTTATTTCTCAGAAACCACAAGAGGAGAAAGTCTTTCCAGTGTACGGTACCGGCAAACCTCTACGGCAGTTTGTGTATTCCATTGACTTGGCAAAGCTTTTCATTTGGGTTCTGCGGAATTACGAAAGCGTGGATCCCATCATCCTATCGGTAGACGAACAAGCCGAGGTGACGATTGCTCAGCTAGCGGAGTCTTTAGTGAAAGCGTTCGACTTCAAAGGTAAGCTAGAGTTTGATACCAGTAAAGCAGATGGACAGTACAAAAAGACGGCATCGAATGCAAAGCTGCGTAAGTTGCTACCAGATTTTAAGTTTACTGAGTTTGATAGTGCCATCCGGGAAACGGTTCAATGGTACATAAAAAACTATGACCAAGCGAGAAAATGATTTGTGCGAAAGTTGTTATCGAAATAAACGTGTCTTTTTGAAATGATGAAGAAATTTTTTTCAGATGACAAAACCTGTTTGGCTATAAACATTTGAAATAAATGATCAACGGGTAAGTTTCTGAGACGAGAACAAAAAATCGCTTGCTAAAAGGACATTGAACGTTTTTAAATGATATTCTACCAAACGACAGTTACACGATCCAAACCATCCACGATTAGTTTTATAAGACAATCCAAAGAAATGGCGAAAAGGTTTCAGTAGACACGTTAAGAGGAAGCATACCACAAATATCTGTTACGTGTTATTGAGAAAATTTATGTGTATTAAAAATTGTGGGTGGTGGACCAAACATCCGCCCAGATTTAATTGTTTATATACAGACGATTCAAGATTGAACAATCGTGTGGGAGCAATAACTATGGTTTACCAAGAACTTTTGACAGATCACAGCAGAACTGGCAGTTTATTCTCATATGAATCCGGAACGGGACTTGACAATGGAGCTTCTCACTCTTCTTAATGTTTTTGAAGAATGTCCTTCGGAAAGTTGTGCATAGTGTTTGACGGAGTTGAACAATAATGCCAGGAATGTAAAATATTTTTTCTATTTAAATTTGGATTTTATTCGGAGTTTCTACCGCAGTTTAGCAGCTTGTACATCATTTTTGCTCAATACAATAAAAACAACCATAAGCAAACAACAATATCCATCACCTAAAAAACGCAGTGCACTCAATTTTTCAACTTTCTTTTCGCATAAATAAACAATTAACAACGCTTTTAACGTCAACATTGTAAAAATCAAAAAGCCAGTAAGTGAACTAATCTAACAGAGCTTAGAACACATAAAGAACCTAGAGTGGCTGTTTCTTTTAAACTTTATGTTGAATTGAACTTTAACCTTTCTTTTGACACTTTGTTGTTATACTCAAAATAAATGATACTAAACGAACTATTACTGTTTCTTTCAAAAGCCAGTCAAATCTTGTTCAACGTAACGTAAGTTCGATATAACTTGAATAATTTAGGATCCATTAGGATCGACAAAAACCTAGAAATCGTCCTTAGTAGATTGCGCGAACATAACGTGGTGCTAAATACAATGAAATGCGTTTTCGGCAAGCAATGAGTGAAGTTTATTGGATTCCGATTAACCAATAATGGGTGGAGCATATACGATGAAAAACGGAAGGCCATTGAAAGGTTTCGTAGACCGGAATCTATACCGGAAGTAAAAAGCTTCCTAGGCCTGATCAACTTCACGGAGCGATTCATTGTGGACAGAGCGGAGAAGACTGAAAAACTAAGATCACTTACAAAATCTGAGGTATTCTATTGGACGCAATAATAAGAAGAAGAGTTTACGTATCTAAAGAAAGAAGCGTTGGCTGGGATATTTCGACCATCGAGAAGAAATAGAGCTTTATGTAGATGCATCATCGGTTGGCATAGGTGCGGTTCTTATCCAATTCAGTCGCTCAGGAGATCCACGTATAATAGCGTGCGCATCTAAAGCTCTTTCTATAGCCGAGCAAAGGTATCCACAGACCCAGATGGAAGCTCTTGCAATCGTATGGGGAGTGGAACACTTTATGTACTACCTCACCAGCAAACAGTTCACAATAAGAACTGATTCGGAGGCCATCGAGGTTATCTTTGGTGGACAGCACAGAATGAGTAGGAGAGTAATTACACGTGCCGAGGATTGGGCACTACGGCTCTTGCCCTACCAATTTCGAATAGAAAGGATTTCTGGCCATCTCAACGTGGCCGACGCATTGTCTCGTCTTATCAACAAATCGCAGGTGGACGATCCCTTCGACGAAGACAATGATAAACACTTCAAGACCAACAATTGAAAAGTCCTCAACTCCGTTTTGTAAACAAACCTTGTAAGGCAATTTTCTAGGGAACCGAAGTCCGTGAAGGCAAACCAACATAATGAACAGGTAGAAGAAATTCTCCTCTACTCGATTGTGGTTTAGGTTTGTAAATGTAAGTTTCGGTTCCCGAGAAAATGGCCTTACAAGGTTTGTTTACAAAATGGAGTTAAGTCCATTTCAATTGTTGTTCTTGACTTGTTGTATTCCTTGGATGCAGGGAACATGAGCATTTCATGGTCAGAGATACACACACCTAGATTTTTTCTACCGAACTCAGCTGTGCAAATCTCGGCAAAAAAAGTTTTAATTAGATTTCAGCAAACATTTCATTTGTTTGCTGAGATTCAACTAAGCATTATCCGAGATTCAGCAATCAAATGTCACTTTTGCTGAGTACTCAGTGAAACTTTTTTTGCCGAGATTTGCACAGCCGATTTCGGTAGAAAAAACTAAGTGTTCAGAAATCATCAGAGACCGACGGCGAACTTTGTGACGTGAGAATGGGAATCGAGTCGGGAATTTGGCCCCGAAGACTCCGGCGCTACGAATCTCAATCTAAGTATCTGAGAAGTATGGATCCTCTGGTTTTCAAAGATCATCTTATTGTTTAACCAACGAGTCTAAGAGGACGGGCGTTGGAAGCAGCTCACCAGGGACATCTAGGATGTGGAGCGACTAAATGAATCCTTCGCAAGTTCTTCTGGTGGCCCAACATGGCGAAGGAGGCTGACAATTACGTGATGAGATGTGAAACATGTCTATCGATTTAGAGAAAAAACCCGCCGGTGCCACTGAGTAGCCGCTTACTTCCAAACGGGCCTTGGGAGATCCTCCAAATCGATTTCTTATTCATCCAAGGTTGCGGCTCAGGCCATCTACTGATGTGTGTTGATGCATATTCACGATACCTACACGTTTTAGAGATGAAACACACGGATGCCAGGCATACAAATGTGGTTTTGTGTAAGATTTTTCACAGTTTGGGGACTTCCTTTAGTACTCCAAAGTGACAACGGCCCGCCGTTTCAGAGCACAGAAATCATAGATTATTGGGAGGCAAAAGTAGTGCGAGTACATAAAGCAATTCCACTCAGTGCTCAATCGAACGGTGCTGTTGAACGGTAGAACCAGGGCGTGATCAAGGCTCTGGCTGCCGCGAAGGCCTAAAAGACAAGCTGGAAAGCAGCGTTAGAGAATTACATACACGTACACAACACACGAAAATGCGACTGGGAGTCATGCCATTTGAGCTGCTGGTGGGTTGGCGATACCGGGGCACGTTTCCCAGTCTGTAGGACTCCGAAACTGTAATAGACAGGAACGACCTACAGGAGAACGACACTTACTCTAAGCTGGTGAGCAAGCAGTACGCTGATAAACATAGAAGGGCCAAGGAAAGTGATATTGCCGTGGGTGACAAAGTCGTTGTTGCCATCGCTCACGGATCCATCATTTCCAGTGAGAAATACACGGTGCTCACAAGACAAGGAGCAAAGGTGGTTATTCGAGGTGATGATAGAGTGCAACTTTCTCGCAACGTACAAGACGTTAAAAGGATCCCACTTGTATTGGAAGCAGAGTTCAGTGAGGAAATAAATGCAGGAAACGACAACGCACAGGACGACGGAGGTCTATTGTCTGCAATGACAAATGCCGTGAATGAAGGTGCTTCGGGATCACAATCGGGTGACTCGACTTCGTTTACCATATCCTCATCGTTAATTGCAATATCCTTTCCGCGGGATCTGCAACATTATGTTAATTTATGTCTTTTTATTTCACAGGCTGACGGATGCTGCGACGAATGCCAGGAGTGAAGGTACCTCGGGAATACAATCGAGCGACTCGATTTCAGCGGCAGGGAGAGACATCGTACGACCAAAGAGAAAGGTAAAAAAAAACTCGCAAAACTAACTGACATGTATTTGTACAATATTTTTGAATGCAGAGTAGAGGCAGGGGAAGATGTAGGGATCAAGAAGGATAGTAAGAAAAATTGTATTGAATTTGACAAGCTCGTAAATTAAGATGAGAGGTAGTGAGAAAAATGTTAACGGGATTGAAAGGGTTTTGAAATAGCTGAATAATACGAGGGAGAGAAGTAGAGAGAGTGAGAAGTCGACAAAGGAGTAATAGAGAAGGAGACAAAAGCGGGAAGAGAACGATTGTATTGGGAGAGAAACAGAGACATAAAAATATAAGAGAGTCTTGTGATTGGCTTTAGTGGAACAACATCAATGAGTTGTTCTTTACTTCAGAGATGCCAAAAGAAAGTTTTGAAATATCCGGAAAGACACGGCGAACATTGATTCCGGCATCAATGCCAACCAAATTGATACGATCCCTCTGTCCTTTCTATTCCACGATTGCTATCGACCAATCAGAAACTGGCTCTGATTTGACAGCTAATTGGCTCAAAATCGTCTGGGACGGGACTTGACAATCGGGTAGCGATTTCGAACCAATTTGCTGTCAAATCCGAGCAAGTTTCTGATTGGTCGATTTGACAGTAGCAATCGTGGAATAAAAAGGACAGAGGGATAGCATCAATCTGGCTGGCAGTGATGCCGGAATCAATGTTGACGTCAATGGCATTGTTAATTGTTTATATTTGTGAAAGGAAAGTTGAAAAATTGAACGCACTGCATGTTTCAAGCGATGGATATTGTCGTTTGTTTATGGTTGTGTTTATTGTGTTGAGCAAAAATGATGTACAAGTTGCTAAACTGAGATATAAGCTCTGAATAAAATAGAAATAATATTTTACATTCCTGGCATCATTGGTGAACTCCGTCAAACACCACGCACAGGTTGTCTGGACTCCTCACTACAACAACCGAAACTGTCGAAAGAGTTAAGTCTGTTCAGCGACGGTTCCTGAGATATTACATACATTTATTTGTACAACATCACATTTAAGATAAGACATAATCAACAAGAAAAGACATAATCAACAATAATACTCGGTTTGCGGCTGCCGCTCTCCATCCTCGGTCATGCACAATGCTCGCTAGATCACGCTCTACCTGGTCCACCCATCGTGCTCTCTGCGCTCCACGCCTTCTTGTGCCAACCGGATCAGTAGCGAACACCAACTTTGCAGGGTTGTTGTCCGGCATTCTTGCAACATGC